ATATATAATTTTTATTGAATCGGTTTGAGTGCGCCTTTTATCTCTGAATCACATTTCGAGTCGAGTAAAATCATCCTAAATCTATATCAAATCAAGTTTTACATAGATAATTTATTTATATCAGATCGAATCTAATTGTTAGGAAACTCGATCCAACTTGCGGTCCCTTATAACAAGCTATTGTAGGCTAAAGTATAATTTGAAGATCAATAATTTTGATGCAAACAATAGTAAAAAGAGAAAAGTGGAGAAGTGGTAAGGAAGAAAAGTGGCTTTGGTTGGACAAGAACTTGACTTTGGATCTAAGACTTTGGGGACCCCGTGAAATGCCAACCCATCCCATCCCTGCTTTAACCTCAATCATATATCTTTTCCTATTTATCTTTAATACTAAGCCATTTATATAATTTTAGAGTTAATTCATCTTATGTCCCTCAATTATGGTGTAGATTCTAAATTGTTCTCTAAACTCCAAGACATTTTAATTATATCCTCAAAGTATCAATATTAAACACATTTATACCTACTGTACGGATAACATGTATATAACGTCTTATAAAAATGATAATATCAATATAATAGTAAAATCTAAAAAATCTAATTTTTTAGGATTCATCAAGTGACTTTAGTTGTAAAAGAGAATGTTGTTCTCTCTAAAAGTTCTAGATTCGAGTAACCGTGTCTGCAAGTTGTGTATACATTCTCAATTTATTAAGAAAATTATAAACAATGCTACTTTATAAACATTTCAAGCTATTAAAAAAATCTAGCACTAATATATATATATATATTTGATCCTTGTATTTTGAATATGTTCAACGTCAAATTTATGCTAGCATTTAACGCTTAAATTGATAGATAAACTTATAGAAGGACCAAATTGCTGCTATATTATATTATGAGGACTCAATTAAAATTGGGAGGGGACATTTGTGTAGTTTTCATATTAAATCCCAAAATAATAATAAAAAAGCAACAGTTAAATGTTTACAGCTTTGGTTTTCCTCATTGCACCTGGAACTAGGCGAAATTGGGCCAATACCGCACATAGAAAAAGAAATTAGGCTTCTAGATTACATGGACTTTTAATTTGGGATTTACAATGTTTGTTATGGTGTTTAACGAATTTATCACGTCAAGGTGACGAGTTCATCTAAATAATATATTTTTTATTTAAACTCATCGCCTCGAGATAATGAGTTTTAATAAAAGATAATTTTTATTAATTTTATCACATAGAGAGTAAAAGTTTAAAAAATTATATTTTTTTATTATAACAAATATCATATATCTCAAATTAAAAATCAAACTGCTCTAATTTCCTGAATTTTTTTCTGGGCTTCCGTAATGGGCCAAAAAGCATAAGGAACTAACCTCTGGCCTAGAGGTAAACTCGGTTTCTGTAAACTAAACTGTAGCTCAATAATAAAGTAGAGCCCACACATTAGGGAATTCGGCAAGTTCACTTCCCTTTAAACCAAAAGATCAAAAAAGAAAATTTCGAAAGTTGTCATGTGAATGCGGCAGTTACCCAACTGTAATCATGAACCCTTGTGTGAACCATGTGCCCAACCAACCGCTTGGACCACCTTTGTTTTATTAATCGAGTTCCAAACCTGATCTTTAACCATGAACCCAGAGGCCACTCACCTGTTGCCTTGCTTCCACATTTTTGGCCTCCCTGCTAACATTGTGCCTTCAAATATCCCGTAACATGCATCGATTACAATAAATTTTACTACCTAAAAAATCACATTAGTATCATGCGGGATATAATTGAGCAACATTCAATAATTTATTCGCCAGTCGTTTATTTAGGTTCATTTATTAAGGTAAATAAATAAATATGAATAAAAATTTTATATTCACTTAATAAATGAACTAATAAAAAAATGTGTTCGATTCATTTATATTCACGAAAAAACTCGTTTGAAATATAATTTATTGACTTATTTTATAAGCTTGTTTACTTGGTTCTTCTTGTCTTTTTAGTTTTTATATTTAAATATTGATGAATTTAGAGACTAAATTTAATTTAAGATAAACTTTGAATTTTAAACAATGAAGCCTAAAGAATTTAAGGACCAGTGATATAATTTCACTATTTTTTATCTGTAAATAAATAGATAAAAAGAGAGTTTTGGTTAGGGATGGGTGTCATGATCTTTTTAAAATTAAAAATAGATTTAAAGTAATTATGACTTTAATTTAAAAAAAAATTGGATTTTTATTTAATGTAAAATCCGGAATAATCATCGACCTTCGGGTTAGATAGGTCGAATACATAAACGTCTTTTTAACAAATTAAAAGAAAACGTTTTGACAAAAAAAATGGTATGTGTTTACCAAATATTCATTTAAAAGTGTTCGTAATCGGTTACGCGCGGGAAAGGCTGAGCACCCCCACAGCGCCCAAATATTGGTACCTTTGATTATACGATGTCTAAAACGATGGAATTTTGCACATTTAACTTCAAAATTTCGTTACTCCCCACAAAAGGTCAAACCAATTCAAACATTCACATCACCAACATCATGCAAGTGTGCCCCCAACCCCATTAGATTTGGCAAGCTTAGTGTGTAACCACTTGTACCTGTGTGCAATGCACAATAACTAGCAAGTTGATTGATGTATATAAACCATTCACAAGCTTGTTATCCCACCAATGTGGGATATGTGATTTTTCATTTTTCTTACGCAACACAATTCACATGTACCCTACTTTGAGCATCAATTTCACATTCACAAGCCATCCTCTCTACTCCCAAATCACACGAAACCCAGCCTACTACCGTTCTTACTTGGCTTTTTTGAAATTGTAACTAACGCAGTTGAAGTATTTTTTTGAATTGGATATCTTTGATTGGTTTCTATCGAATTTCACTCATCATACTAAGTAAAATGTTAAAATTGTCCACCAATAACCCTTTACTCTCCTACAATATCCAACATTTCAATCCCATAATAACCCATTCATATGTTCTGTAAGAGATAGAGACAAAATAAACCAATCTAAGCATATCAAAGATGTTTACTTGAATTAGTTTTCCGGCAGAAATAATTTCTTCGATTGTAGAATCTTTTATTTTTTTAACTGCAAAATCTCATGTAAACTACCGAAGCTAACAATAATTATACTTTCAGTATCACACACTACAGCAAAATAGAGTTTTAGCGGCATTTTTAATCCTATAACGACGTTTTTAAACGGCGCTAAAAGCACTTACGGCGCAAGAAGCGCCGGCAATACCAGCGCCTCTAAAGTTAGCGGTGTTTGAGAACAAAAAACACCGCAATAGGTCAAGATCTATAGCGGCATTTTTGGAACAAATGCCGCAAAAGGTTGATATCTATAGCGGCGTTTTTGGAACAAACACCGCAAAAGGTCGATTTCTATTGCGGCGTTTTCTGAACAAAAGTCGCAAAAGGTCGATTTCTATTGCGGCGTTTTTTGAACAAAAGTCGCAAAAGGTCAGATCTATAGCGGCTTTTTTAGATACAAACGCCGCAAAAGGTCATATCTATAGCAGCGTTTTTTATACAAACGCCGCGAATTAAAACTACTTTTTCAAATGTTGTTTTGTACTCTTTTGTTACCCAAATTTAAAATTTTAACATATAACATTATCCAATAAACTTTACATCCATAACATCAAACTTGAAATTCATAACAAGAAACTTGAAATTTATAATAATAAATCAAAGTTTACATTAATGTAATTCAACATTGTTAAGTAGAATAAACAATAATATGAGCCATAACCACAAAAAAGTATAACAATACTCAAATCCGAAAACCCTTCACAAAATAGTTGGCAATCCCACAGTTTCCCCCTCATCGATTCTATTTTCCGGAGCATTGAGTGAACTGCGTGGCCTTGCTGAAAGGTGGAACATAATCAAATTAGTCAGGACATATCAGAGAACATTAAAGAACAACAAAATCACAAGCATCATAACAAACCCACAAAGAAAACAAGTTGTCCTCTCGGAGCCATTTGTTCGGATGCCAAAATATTGGGAGAAGCTTGTCCTTTCCCATTTACTTCGCTGCACAAGGAAATAGAACACATCCTCAGTATTCATGAAGTTAAAGGTGGGCTCTTAAAACCGAACTTTCCCAACTTGTCTTGTTCGTGCAAGAAACATACCTAGTCAGAGACACAAGTGCCAGCGGAACAGATAGAGAAACAAACCCTGTTGGAAATGAAATCGAACTTACATTAAGTTGGGATAAAAATGAAAGCATAAGTGAAAGAAATTTAATTTAAATGTGCTTTGTTAGAGTTACGAAAGCACCTTCATAATTTGGAATGTGGATATTTGACCATGTATCCATAGCATGGTAGTGGTAACATCACCGGTTGGAGTCCAAGCACTACCAACATTTGCTGCTATCACGATGACATCTCCTAGAAGCCTATTGCAATGTATATTCATACAGGCGGCTTCAAGATATTAATATCGCGCAATGCTCAGAACCAAAACAGAAGACTCTGTTGCATAACAACCTTGCGGAATTCCGAAGGAGGTACTAGTTTCCTCAACAAAGAAACCATGACTATTGTAGATGTCAAATTATCAAGGATAGCACTAAGAAAAAATGTCACGAAGCCAACCTACAAATTTAAAGGAACAGGCGAGACACTGGTATTAGTTTGATTAAACATGAGAAACATACTACTAATAAAGATAAAAAAACTTCGATAAGAAACAGAAATTACCGTTGAACTATATTCAAAAACAGAATGACACAAAATTCCATATAAGGCTTCACACTATCAAAATTTCTTCATTGGGCTCATTCTAGATAAAATAAAAAAATACGATAGGATCATAAGCAGATAAATTATGTTTTGGCAGCATAATAACGTTGGCCGTGACACCTAAGCAAGCGGGTTTAAGATTCTTTTGAATGTATCTTATTGATATGTCTCATTCACATCGCTCGTGGGTGTCATGCTTCACTGAGATATTGAACAGACTGTCAATAAGACCATAGCCAACAGAAATCAACTCAGCACCCACATTAGAGTCCGCAGCTTTCGAGTGGTTATGTTGTTAGTAACCAGCTTAAATCCTTGATGGGCATCGACTATCTCTACAATGGTCATCGCACCGAGCAAGAAAAACACTATCTCACCGACTTCTGCAGATGCATGCGTCAAATCTGAAACAGCTATATCAGGTGAAGGAGCCTAAAAATGAAAATCAAACGTGAAGGCCCAAGCATAAAGTTTGAAATAAAGTAAGAAAATTAACATGAGAGAAACTGGTGGAAACCCGGCATGTGCTTGAATCAAGTATCCAATACATAACAGAATTTTGTTTTTTCATCCTAATTTTACGATATGCTAATCTAATACACAAGATGAGGCACAGAAGAGAAATACAGTCCAATATCAGATATCCGAGTATCATTCTTACCCCGATGCTTCGTACTACCCACAAACTCACAGCCATCAACAATCCTACTCCACTTTTATTAAAGGCTAAAGACTCCTCAAATATAAAGCCAACATATCCTATTCCAAAAAGCAATGCCATAGCAACATTCTGCAGTATGATGTTTGATAAATTCAGGAAAGGCTTCCGTCTATAATCAAATAATACGAGAAACATTGGTCAAAGACAAAGAAACAATTAAACCTACAAAGAAAGGATTACACAAGGAACTAGAGATAAACCTAGTTGTCAGTAACCCATGATAGATTAATCACCACAGTCTCGGTTAAACAACCCCAAAGAAAAATAAAATAAATCCCTGAAAAAATAAAAACAACCCCGAAGAAAAATTAAATAAATCCCAGAAAATGTGAAAGCTATTTTCAAAAATTTATTTACCATTTCTTAGGCCGATGCTGGATTCTTCAGTGTTGATATTAAACAAGCCACTTTTGAGGAAATGAAAAGTCAAGATTTGAGGAAACTCAGAAATACTGAACATGCTTCTGGTTCAACAAGCTATTTTCTCAGCAACCTCTCTTATTTTCTCATCAATCAAACACAAACCCAGCTAAAAGATTAAAACACACCATTTAAAGTCTGCTACCGAGAACCATTAGTCGATCCTTGAGCAGAAACCAAAGCCACGGAAACAAAGAAAGCTCGAAGTATAAAATGGCAACAGAAAGGGGAAAAAACGAAAACAACAAGATGAAATTAAGCACGATAAATACAGATCTTCTCATTTTCCTTTCTCGTTAAATAAGCGAGTGAGAAGAAATGGGTAAAAATCAGTTTGGAGGAGATGACGACGGAGAGGTGGCCGTGAGAGGGAAGGTTTAAGGGAAACTTTGAGCTACCAGACGTTTTTAAACTGTGGGTTAAAGGGTGCTGTGAGTGGAAATGAAAAGGGTTAAAGGGGTTAAACTTTGAGCTGCGTTTTTAAACACAAATGCTCCAAAAGTATGAATCTTTAGTTTACAAACGCCACTAAAGTAAGAATCTTTTGCGGCGTTTGTATCAAAATGCCACTAAAGTACTAGTCTATAGCGGCGTTTGTATAAAAATGCCACGAAAGTACGAGTCTTTAGCGGCGTTTGTATATAAACGCTACAAAAGTACGAGTCTTTAGCGGCGTTTGTATAAAAACGCCGCTAAAGTATGAATCTTTAGCGGTAAATTAGTGGCGTTTCTATTAAAATGCCCCAAATTTTGTTATTTTGTGGCGTTTGTTCTAAAAACGTTGCGATAACAATAAATTTAGGCGTTTGTTCAAAAAATACCGCTAGAAATGCCGCTATAAACCCATTTTGCTGTAGTAACATTTGTAGTATGATGATGAGAACCCTAAAAAATAAATTTATTAAACAAAAAATTAAAACTAAAATGGAAGGCAAAACTTGTAAAGTACAGAAGAGGATTAACCAACAAACCCCAAAGATAAGAAGAGGTGAAAGATGGAAAATTGAGAAAAAGAGAGACGATACTTTTTGAAATTTATTGATAATTGTCTTAATATCTCAAATCAGACCGACACATTAATACAAATGAAATCAGACCGAAGTTTTTTTTCCTAATCATATAGTTTGCAATATACTAACTGATTCATACCTATACAAAATTGAAACTGCATGTTCGAGTACTGGCTTTCTTTTGGCCACATAAATCAATCAAGCTGAATCCCAATACAACAACTAATTCGTAAAAAGTGAAGCGTCCATTCTAAAAAAAATAACAATCAGGATCATTTACTCAAACTTATTTGTTCCATTCCAAAGACGAGTTTTCCATACACGACTAAATAGCAAATGAAAACTCAATATCATTTCTTCTTATGCCGTTGTTGTACTACCCCCATGGACCTCGTCAACGACTGCTTTGATCATGTATATATATGTATTAAAAGAAATGATTAAGAAAAGAAGAATCTTTAATATATATATATGAGAGAGAAACACGACCACCGCAATTGCAGACCAAGACAATAGGGATTCTACGTCGAAAGCATAAGAATAAACGATTCTGAGCATTCATTTGACATCCAATGATGCACGGAGGCCTCGTAGTTGGAATAAAACAAACAAGATTTACGAAATGATATACTTTGATTGTTTTAGGAGTGTCCAAGAATCTTCTTTGAAGGAGAAGCAGCAATGGTTTCATTGATACTGACTTATTCATCTCTATAATCGTTGCTTCTCCAACCTTCATTTTTTTTATCCAGAAAGCAATAACATGTTGACAAATTATAATACTTGCAAAAGAAAAAAAGAAGCAAAAGTATAATAGGCCAAGGCCAAAGAACATATTTTATCTACAGTGGTATTTGGCCTAAAAACAATATTTGCAGTTCAAATATCACTTCTATTAGAAAACTTGACATCTTCATTGGAAATAAAGATAACAACTACAACAACATCATAAAGGAATTAAAATCTACAATCAAGTAAACATAAGGGAGCAAATTTCAATAAATTTACAAATTTAAAATTTTATCAAATAAGAAAATATTTTAATAACCAGTATCACCAATGCTTGCAAAAATTTTACAAATCCTTGCATCCTAACAGTAGCATGGTATCAATATCCATCAGTTTCACCTTGAAATCCAATAACTTATCTTGTGCTTTAATCATTTAACACATGCATAAAGAAATATATGCAAAATATCCCAATTTAATATATGTTAAAAAATGTCATTATAATATTGACAAAACACACAACCTAAAAACACTTCTACTCTAATTGAGAGGTTTTTAATGTGACATTCTATTTGTTTTTGTTTAGTTCTTTCGAAATAAAAAATATCCTTTGCTAAGCAAAAAAAAAAGTATTTTACTTAAAATTAATGGATGGTTGAGATATCTTGACTTTTATTTTAAATTGTTACTAATTGTGCCTATTTGCTTATTTTTCACCTTGTTTCCGATGATTGATGTGATTATTGACTCGAATGGTTTTCCTTGATATATTGTGAGATGAAAGATTGATAATTTGAGATTTTATAATTGATTAAGGCATGCTTGAGGAAAAGCATTGAATAAGTGAGATGGAATTTGATGAGTGTTTTATTTGGTTAATATTTTATTATCAATTAATTTGTGTTATCCCTTTTATAGTGCTAATTTGGATTATTTATGTTAGATTCTTTGCAATGCTCTACTTTCTAGAAAATAACAATTAGAGAGTGAATTATATAATTTATTGTAATTATAGTGCTAATTTGGGTTACTTACGTTATAATCTTTACAATAAATTATAGAATAAATAGGTATTAATAGTTCATAAATATATAGTCTTCTATAATTTATTGTAAATCGTTGATGATATTAGATTGAAGACTACATATTTATGAACTATTAATAACGTGACCTCGAATACTTGGTCGAAACACTTAGGCTGAGTTTAGGAGGTTACATTTAGTGGTATTACAACCCAACTTTCAAACTGTGAAGCCCACAATTGAATTTTAAATGAAAAAGGTTTATTGCATGCATCTTAAAATAATTTTGGGAATATGAAATGTTTTTAAAATTTTATGAGTATTGATTTTTTGTGAACAAACTACTATTATTATTATTTTTCGAGTTAGTTTTTCTTTGAGACTCGAGTACCAGATCTAATGTTAGTGTTTGGGTCGTAATGCTCCTACGCCAACTAATGGGGGACGTAATGCTAGAGGTATTCCTGCGCCAGCTCGTGGGGGACGTAATGCCTCCTCGTAGAGCCAGAGGTACTCTTGCGTCAGCTCTCGAGAGACGTAATGCTCGGAGTCAATGACTAACATCAATAGAGATCTTCTTATTCTAGAGTTTAAGATGATTGAATCTGAGGAAGAGAAGTATACTCAAGAGACTGATTCTACTGAGTTGACTGAGGATCGACCTGTCACTAAGTTTGCGGATACAATTAGGATTAATGATGTATCTGTTGGGATTGTGATATTGCATATGATACGTAGGTCTATCGATGATCAAATTGAGAACTTGAGGACACCTATTTTTACGAATCTTCTAGTTAGTGGAGCCTTTTTCTTCCATGGTATGTCTAGAGCAACACCAACAACTGGTGAGTACTGAGGTGAAGTATCTCCATGGTGTGTCTAGATGATATTGTATCAGTGATGGATGAGATGAAGTATCTCGTGGATAAGATACTTAAAGTTATTATTTCTCTATTGAAAGAATATGCAAAACAATGGTGGAAATCTATCAAGAGAACTTTTCAATCAGAGCAATTGACTTGGGAAAGTTTTCAAAAGTTATTCTAGAGGTTTTATGTGGGTAGCATGTATTTAGAGAAGAGTCGAAAAGAGTTTATTGATCTCAAACAGAATGATATGGAAGTGCATGATTATAAGATAGAGTTTCTGAGGTTAAGTAAATATGCATATGGGATGGTTACCACAGAGTTTTTTTTTTTTTTTTGTAAAAGGATACTTTGTATTGATGAAATTATAAAGTAACCACTCCAAAGACCTTGTTAAAAAACCTCCCTAAACCTAATCGGAGGAAAAAGAGTGTACCATGGAGTGGAGTGAATACTAATAACAGGCTATAAAATAGCAGCAGAAATGGATGTCATGGCAGTGAACACACTCCATAATACCAGCACCGTCCAACGTTGAACATATAGAGGCGCCGAAACAAGAACAAATAATAGCAACATGAATCATGCGAATGAAAGCAAATTGAAACCAAACAGAATCCAAACTGGCAGACCAACGTTAGAACGAACAACAGAAAAAAGCAGAAGAAAAGCAGCAACAGGAAAGCCATTAACAGAAACCACGGGAAAAGCTGTCGGATTTCGAACAAAGTCCGACACCACATGATATGATCTCAGCCATAAATAATTCGCCTAAATTCCAATCAGCAGTAAAGCTTTAAAAAATATCTGATCCGCCGTAAAAGAAGCCCCATTAAATCTAGTAAGATTTCTGCAGATCTAGACAGTCCAAATCAAACCGAAGAATCCCAGACGCCACAGCGGCTTTACACTCGTTCTAACCCTTTGCGCGAACCAAATCTCAATTTGTAATTTAACGTTCTTAGGAAATATGAAATTAACATTCCACACATTGCACCATCTTTGCCACGCATTCCAAACTACGGAACAATGACAAAGAGCATGATTTACCTCTCCCGGCGCCAGCTTGCAAGGAGACATCATACCTGATCGGAGCAATTGACTCCCCTTTTGAGCAGCTCAACCATAACATGTAGTATTTGATACACTGCTTTCCACACAAAGGCAGAAACTTTAGGATGAACAAACTTAAACCAAACGAA